CTTGTGTTAATTCATCAGTTGACACAGTTGTTATGTTACTGTCGCTTGCTATTATAAAAAGTACTCTTCGTCGTGGACATAATGAATGGTGTGTAATGATTATATCTGTATGGTGTGTGTTCATTAAGTTATTAAGGTCCAGCTGAATTAGTAAGTAAATTGTGAAAGCCTAATGCAATTCTGTCACTATCGGATGTAAGGGCCGTTGGTTGTTTTGTCATCACCACCGTTCCACCCGCCGTTAGTGAAGCAGACGGCCATCATCACCTCTATTCGTCTGATGCGGCAGGGGTCAATAGTGTATCACCGCCGAATCGTTTAGTAATCCGACACCGATTATAGAATCATCACAGGCAGATCGTACTGCAACGCGACGATGACCATTACCTATGACCAGACGGTTCATATGCTAAAGCGACAGTGATGTCCACCTCGACACAGACATGTCGGCCGCCAAAACGACGGTGAACACGCACTGCATACAATCGGGTCGTTGTGCAAGGCGACTATGATCCTAGTCATTACTCAAACGGCGGTGTTAGTGTACACCCACATAGGTGGGTCATGGTACAATGCGACGGAAACAACGAATAGATCACGGACAGATCATAAGCCAACACGGCTGTGTTAGTGTACACCCACACAGGTGGGTCGTGCTCCAATGCGACGGAAACAACGACCTGATCACGGACAGACCATAAGCCAATACGGCGGTGTTAGTGTACACCCACACAGGCGGGTCGTGCTCCAAGTAAGGACCTTATCACGGATGGATCATAAGCCAATTCGGCGGTGCTAGCGTACATCACAGTCGATGACGAAGCCGACGGTGAGGGCTATGACCATCACTATCGACAGCTTACTGTCGAGGCTGAAATTCAGCTGCGATATATGGGATTACGACGTGGCTGCAAAAGGTCCGAATGTAGTAGTGGAAGTTGATATGAGAATGCCCAATGTGTTGCATCGGTCATAGCTTGGGACCATTCACGATCATCACAAAGTAAACCTAAAGCCTCACAGGCAGCATGGAAGGTAGGGTACCGGTGACCACCAATGGTTCTTAAATCTGAGTAGCACTGGGCACCTTTCACAATGTGTAGTAGCATACACAGGTAGAAGGCCTCGCCTTCATTGGGGTTGATGTTTGTTATGCGCCCAATCTTTGCACGATGATTGCGACGCTACTACCAATACTTGCCATCAGCATGCCATGTCCAATACTCAGGAAATTCTATATATGTAAATTGCCTTGTCGTTGGGTGCGTTTTGTTAGCCTCAAACCAAGCAGTCAATTTGGTCACTGTGTTGCGTGGATTACAAACCACCTCTTCAAAATTTTCATCTTCAGCATATAGGATGTTGTTCTCAAGTGGAAGGTGGACATGTAGTCGCTCAATAGATGGGTTTGTCCGATGAATGTCAAATTAGAGAAGTCGCCAGGCAGCATCATGAGGTCTTATACATCTGCAATCCAAATACTGTTTTATTTCATTCACTGCAACAGCATTGCGATCTTCCTTGTTTTGGATAGCAATCTTTGCGCGGTCAGGACCCTTATTTGTGTACTTGAATAAGTATTTATCCATTCCATCATGATTAACACTTTCAACATTTATGTGCGCATCATATTTGACACATAGGTCCTCATTATGAGGCATGACACCGTTCTTTTGGACTGTGATATCATTAATTGGTCGTGCATATATAACATGACCATTTGACGACACAGTTGTTGTGCTTGCAAATTCTTTAGGATAGAACTTGCTGCATCTACCATCAACCATGCAAGGAGAGGCTGGACAGATAGCACCACACGGACCATGTATCATAAATTTTGATACAGCATCATAACCAACCCGATCGAGCAATGGATCAGGTAGTTGCGCTGATGATATATAAGAATCAATTTTGTCGGCAGTACGGGGGGCCATCAGTTTTAAGCCATATGATGATGTGTACGTGTGGCAAGCCCCTTTTTTGGAACTCAATTGTGTAAACAGCTGCATGAAAAAAAATAACAATGGCAAATAATCAAGGAATGCGATGCATAGTTTATATCATGACCCAGGAGTACACATGAAAATTGGTGTAATACCTCCAAGTAAAGGGCCAAAAAATGAATGCTTTATTATGTCATCCATGAGCAGGTTGAGTTTTATTTGGAAGACTCGATCGATCATGTCAGGTCGATCAGATGGGTGTTGGCCTGGTGTAGTTGATAGAGCCTGTGCTATTTCTGTCCAGCAGGCGTTGCATGTAAAGGTAACGAAAAGGTTCGAGCATCCAAAGCAACGACAAAGAGCTACACAATCTTGGTAATTTTGGTAGTACCACCGTGGTCCTCCAGTAAAAGAGCCTGGCCAATAAACTGTGTCCTGCAGCTAAAGCCTCTGTAACACCAGCACTAACTTTGTGCAGTAGAGATTTATAGTTGGCTGTCCTATATTTGGCCTGGAATGATGTCTTTCTATAATGGCTTAGTCGGTCATCCTCAACACAGCAATAGGCGTCAACAATATATGCTTGGGTGAGCCTTTTGCCACGTAAACATGTATTGAAGTCATGGACTCTATCATGCAATCTGTATGTATAAAATTCTAACATAGTGACATTTTTTCATTTCATTGCCGTTGACCGTCGACACAGATGGTACTCCAAATTTTTATGGAAGCCATCCTCGTCATAGGGAAATAGTAGTGGGTACTGCATTGCCATGAACTTACAGTGTGTTTCCTTGATTCTCTGCAGGTTAGAAGCATGATCCTGGACCACCAAGTAGCGACCTTCATCAGATTATCCGAGATCAACAATCACCAGGCCAACAACCTCTGCTGCAATAGGAGCGTTGTAAACATTACCATGCTGCTTTGGAGAACTAAATAGCTTGACAGAGCAATGATCATCAGGTTCATTCAATAACCTATCTGATCTCGAGCAGTTCGGAAAACCTGGACGATTGGGTTGTGAAAGTCAAACATGCTGACCAATGAAGCAACAATAGCCTCATTTGGTTGGAAAGTAGCATTTTTATGCGAAGAAACAGCCATTCTGTTCCTCACTTCATGTTAGGTATCGAAGATATAGAGCTGACAATACTCTGGCCTTCTACCACCTGATGGCATGAGCGATCCTATTCGATGGCATAGCTGGCCACTAATCTTGAAGACATAAGGTCCTCGGCCATCGTTAATAGAATTTATAACATTGACACCCACAGATGTCATAGCAAACATAGAATTGAAACATCTAATGCCATCAAAGAAGTGCGTGGACAATTTACTGTCCCGCAAAGTCAGTAGGCCGATCAAGGGCTCCGATGGTGGTTTGTATGGAGCAAGAACAATGCTGCCACCTCTACAACACTTATTATAAATTGGCATATGTTGACCACCACAGCCACGGACACTCTCCTCATTCCAAAAGAGAGCCCCACAATGCTGGCACGCATTATTTGGCCCTCCCAAATGAAGAGCAGAGGAGACGGTGCCTATAATTCGTAGAAGAAAAAAAAAAGGAAAAGCCGGTAATTAAGATAGGGTAACAAAATTTGGACACGTGTTTGTTTATGTGGTTCAGCATGAGGACTGGGTGTGGTGAATTGATTTTGACAATGGCCTCATTCATTGTGGACAATGGCTTGAAGGTATATAATAACATGTTTATGTACCAATAGCTGTAGCGTTAATATGTAACACGGGATTTATGGGTGGAATGGATCTACCAATGGATTTAGCATCCACGTGCAGTATGAGCAAATCGGTATAGGAAATTCTTTGAGAAAAGAGGCTCACGTTTGTGTGGACCAAAGCATTGCGGAGGTGGATTCGTGGTGGCATTCATCTGAGTAAGTAAAGTCCGACGACGGCTAGATCTTGAAGAGGAAGGCATTGAAACAGCACATTGCTCTGTGCTGACAGTTGTTGGATGCGGACCTGCAAAGGAGGAATCTGTTGCCAAACCTCTGGTTTCTGCAAGACAAACATAAGGAAGACCATACACGTAATTTTTTTTGCCGTGAATGTAACCAAGCATTTGGGCGTAGGTAAACATGGTTGTAGGTACCATCATTGTGGAGGATGTCGCGTGTCCTGCTTTTGCAACACGTTGTAGAAGTATTAGACGCCTCAGGTGGTGGGCACGCTGCAGAGAAGGTTGAAGATGCATCAGTGTGCAGACGAACTATGGAAGGCAGTGTAGGAAAAAATGCATATTTGGCAAAAGGGACAGGAATACCATGAGGAGAGGTGGCATTAGCAGAGTTTGGTACATTGGCAGAAAGCATCATGGACCGGCCTTAGTGCCTCACGATGAGGGATTTGTGGTCGTGATGTTTGCCCATTGGCTGAGAAACAGTCCGATGGCTGACGCAGCATCCTTTCTTAGCAAATTTGCGTAAAGTATGTTCAAGGATTTAGGCGGCGTAGCTAAACACTCTGGAGTGCATGAGCAAAGATGGGAAACAGTCTAATATTATTCATGCAAAAAATTCATAGTATGAGTAGACTGTGCCTACGTTTTTGGTAACAGAGCAGCACATTATGTACAATGTATGGTAGGATTAAGGCATAGCACATTATGTACAATATGTAATATGTGAGTATTAATGTGCTGTAAATACCATAAACAATTAAGCAGCATAGCACAATAGCAGTCAAGCAGAGGAACGAAACGTGTTGTTCAGAGGAGGCAATCACAGAATGAATATCTAGAAGGTTCCATGTAATTTCTCTTAAAATCTGAGCAAATGAAAAGATTAATAAGAAAATAAATTGAGGGAAAAAGAGGTAATACCTGTTGGCGAGGGTCGAAGGGAACGGTGTGGCTTCCAAGGCGACGGCGGCGCTGCACAGCCGCTGCAGAAGACGGCCGCAGGCACGGGCCAGGCGCTACGTAATGGGATCTGGTGGCGAGGTGCAGCTGGTGTGGAAGGGAGAAGGACGGAGACGCGAGGGCGAAGCGCCGGTGCACGCGTCGACTGCGCTGCCCCGGGCCGCGCAATGTCGATGGTGCTACTGGGCAGCGCCACCGGCGCATTGGTGCGGGTCGTTCCGGCCGGGGTGTGCGACAGCCAGAGTACGCAGGCGGGGCCGCCGGCGGCGTATGACGGAGGAGCTGCGGCGTCGCAGCCGGGGGTCCGCGCAACTTTGATAGCGCTGCGGGGTCGATGTGGCCGCGACGTGCGGCAGCCGGAGTCGGCGGAGTGCAGAGGAGCGGCGAAGCCGGCGGCGCCGCAACCGAGGGAGGAATATATTTTGGGCCTTTTACGCCAGTGCCATTAATCGTCAATGCCCCTATAAAGTTGAGTCTATCATTGTCGTTCCTGGGTTTAAAAACTTTTTTCGCCCAAATCATTGCGTCCATTGTAGCTACTAACGGTGGATAACAGAGGTGGAAAAAGACTTGAATGCCACTGGGGAGTAAGAGGATGACTGAAAACTTGTGTGTTTCTTCTATGCCACTTCTAGGACCTAGCCTCTTGGCGCCATTCAGGTGGGTTTTGGCGCCAATCTTGTTGGCTTTGGCGCCAAAATGACCCTGGCTCTCATAGGCAGTGCACTCCTCATTTCTTCACCACTCACTTCTCTCAACACTCACCATGTCTGAAGCTTCAAGTAGTAGCTATGAGAGGCGGCTCACCAGGCGGGTGTTTTGCCCCAACTGTAGGGTGCTTGCCAATCGATTCACCTCGATGACCGGCAAGAACACCAAGCGTGTCTTCTACAAGCGTTCATACTTCTTGGTATGTCTTTCTTCATTGGTCATGTTCTTGTTTGTTCCTACTTCTCAAGTGCTTGTTCCTACAATCTGGTGACATTTGTGCTCAAGCTGGAGGTTGCCAGTTCTATCAGTGGGAGGATGAGATGGATGTCACTACTGCACAAATTGCAGCTCTAGTGGCTCTGCAGCCAGTTGCAGCAGGACCTACTGCAGATCCAGCTCATTTGCCCATCATCCATGAAGCTACCCAGACTGCTGCTAGAGATGGAGTGGAAGATAGAGCTGATGGGGTTATGCAACAGCTAAAATGGATTAAGAAGCTAGTCTTTGTTGCCATCTTTCTTGCCTTGTATGCAATAATGAAGAAGTAGGTGTGTGTTTGTGTGTTTGGCTGTGCTCATCTATATGCATGTATGAATGAACAATGATGTATCAATGAATGAATCAATGTTGAAATGTCATTGCAGACCACACAACAGTGCTAATATATGGTGAACATTTCATTTGACCAAACTGATGATACCAACATTGCACAAGCATAAGTTCAACATAGTATTTCAACATAGCCATAAGTTCACAACACAGTCATCAGTTCACATCACAGGCATAAGTTCAACATAATGTTAACATGACTGGCATAAGTTCACAAAAGATGGGTGTTCTCCAACATGAGTTGTTTTAAAAGGACAAGAGTTGAGTCACCTAGCTGAGTCACCTGTTTTTTAATCAAGATGAAGCTTTTTCCTGCCTCTGGTATTTGCTGCTGGGATGGATGGGTCAGCTGCACCCTGTGGAGTGGAAGTAGCAACCTTCTTTGGAGTGAGCTTCTTCTTGAGACCAATCTTCCTCCTCCTTGGACTGGCAACCTGTCTGCTTCTCTGCTCATTCAGTGATGCCATCACTGTGGCACTGTTTGTGGCTTCAGTTGTGGCTTCAGCTGTGGCTTCAGTTGTGGCTTCAGCTAGGCCATGGTAAGGTGCCAGGTGCACAGCTTGGAAAGGAACAGGATCATTTGATCCAGTTCTAGATCTTGAAGAAGTAAACACACATTCAAAACATTGTCCACAGCTAGAAAATTGAAAACATGATAGGGAGAGGAATGACCATCATACCTGCTAGAAAATTGCTTCTGAGATGTTGATGCACTTGTAGATGTGGATGAGGCCTTTCTCTTCCTTTTCTTGGTAACAACATTGTCCACAGCCTCATTTGGAGAGGAATGACCATCATACCTTAGCTTGTTGTTGATTATGTGGTTATCAATCACAACCAATGACCCAGGACTCTCACTCTCAATCTGTGCCTTAAATCTATACAAGTTGTCAAAACTTTTGTCCCTTGGACCATAAATCTTATCAATGGCAAGATTCTTACCATTGTACACTCTCATGTAGGGTATCTCCACCTTGAAATGTTCCTTGAGTTTCTTGATCAATTCAGTAGTACCCAAAGTTCCATCTTCTTTGAGCCAGTCCATAACTTTCTCACAAACCCAGTACTGGGTGCAGCCAATAGGGACTCTAGTCCTCCTCTTGCTCTAACAGTCATGGCTGGCTGGGTTCACCTTAACCTGTGAATCAAATCATCAAAGTTAAGGCAGTAGACTATGTTAAATATGAACAAAGAACAATGCTAAATACTAATGAACATATATATCACCTAAATTGTTTTACCATCCCTCATGGTTGATGCATGGATTCTCCAGGGACAACCATCATTCCTCCAGTGGCAGTACACTCTATACCTTCCTGTATCACTCTTTTGAATGAAATACCGATTCTCTCTTATTGCAGCATGAGTAGCTAAAGCCATCTTAAATTGAAACATGTCTGCAAACATACTACCTACAGCCATAGAGGGGTTGTTTCTATCATAATCAGCTGGTGCCATCAGATCAGGCTCATGGTCTTTCACCATTTCATCTAAGTCATCAGGGTCAATTTCATAGTCATCATCAGAAACAGCTCTATCAGGACTATCATCAGAAACAACTCTATCATCACTGTCACTTTCATTGCATGCAGCTCTATCAGGACTTGGGCACTCATTTTGTGTGCTGGTAGGTTGAGGCTGAGACTGAGGTTGTGGAGGTGGTGGGTGTTGTGGACCAAGGTCAATGTACAACCCTTCCTCATCAACACCAACATACTCATTCTCTGGGTTTGGGTTTGCAAGGACTGCATCATCTGCATTTTCACTGTTTGTTTGACTTGGTTCTGCAAAGCTAGGACAAGGCATGGAAGGAGTCATGGTGGGTTCAACAGATTGCTTAGCAGTGGTATCCCAAGAAGGAATGATAGGAGGGTCAGTGTTGGGTTTATGGTAGGCTAAAGTCATGTAACAGCACTTGCTAGCTTTATTTTTGGCAAACATCTCAAGTAACTGCTGGTCATTGGTCAAGGGGATGTTCATCTTTGTGTCATGGCACTAGTAAAACAGACTGAAAACATCCCCATAACGCCCAGGATACTTATCCACAATGCCAGACACCACATTTGAGTAGTTTGCAACATCAGCATCCAGAACTTCGTTTAAGCTAAACCACGGCGCATGAGTATTTTCAGCAACAATCCGAAATTCTATGTTGTAGCTACTATTTGGATCCATCCTACAGATGAACAACAACGATCACAAAAGGCAGCAATCACACATAACACACTTAGACCTAACTATCCACAATCACCACGAACAAGCAAGCAAGGGGGAAAAATAGAACTCACCTTTCTCGGAACCAGGAAGGTCGATCGGCCGTCGCCGTGTTCGCCTCCATGGGCCGCCAATGCAGAGGATGAGCAACGTTATCTTCATTGCACCACTATCCCATGCCGAGGCTCAGGAACGAGGGATCGATTTCTTCTCTCCCCGCCGCCGCCGCAGCCAGTGACTGTTCTGTCGCCACTAGAGCTTGGGGGATGGGGACAGAGGAGGAATCGAGCGAGATGGGGAGAGTGAGAGCGATCAATACCGGTCAACACAGAGACCTGTTTTGTCTCTATACCCATGGGCAACTGGGTCATTTCCCATGCCCGACCCCACATGTTAGGCCTCCCAAACGGCGAAAAACAAGCGGAGAGGCGACGGAATGGCTTGGGCGAAAGAAGTTTCCAAACCCAGGGACGACAGTGATAGACCCAACTTTGTAGGGGCATTGATGATTAGGCCATCTTTTTTAATGGCACTGGCGTAAAAGGCTCTATATTTTTTCCATTTGGCACTAACACGGTGGGCAGGCCCAGGCACTACACCGTAAAGCACGGCCCAGCCCAGGCACGGCACGGTTAACAGGCCGGCATGGCTGCGGCATGACTCAGAGCTGTTGATCTACCTCGCCCACTTCTCTCGGTCGTTGGATTTGCCTGTTGAAGGGGAGGGGTATATAAACCGCCTCGCCCCCGTCGCCCCGTATCCCACCTAAACCATAATTCATTTTGAGCATCGCTCTCTCTCTCATGTCTCGCTCTTCTCTCTGGCTCTCTCCGTTACGACGGCGATTCTTCTCTCCTGTCTCCAACCTCCTCTCTTCTTCTCCCCCTCTGGTGGCCTCTTGAGCCACCGGTGGCTGGCACTGGCACAAGGCACGGCATAGTATCCTCTCTTCTTGATTTCACATCGTTGATGTAGCCTCGTCCTCTCCTTGTCGTCCTCCTCTTTGTCTCCGTCGACCTCACCGGATGTCAGCTGCTCTGGTGCTCCGGATTCGAATTCATTGAGGAACCGGAGGGACGGATCCATGTTTCGTCGACGTCGATGGTGATTTTGGTGCTCCGGCTGCGAAGGTAAGCCTAACCCTAACCCTAACTTGCTAATCCTTGCTAACCCTAACCCTAGATATGTACTGAGGCTTCTTTTTCATAGCTGTTGAGGAACCAGGGCATCGGCGAGTGACGATGCCCGACTCAGACGACGAAACGGTTGAGGTCGGCGCCAACAAAGAGAGGCAGTTGTGCGGGTTGGCCGGAGATGACGATGAGGACAACCTGCACGAGGACGCTGAGAAGTTGTTCGGCGTAGCGCTTAGGCTCCCATTGATGTCAGCGATGGTCAAGAAGGCGGGGCAGCAAACGACGAGGAAGGTGAAGAGGACGAGAACAGCGCCAAGCGTTCTCGTCCCTCTACCTCGGCAGTGTGGCTGGATTTAGAGAAGCTCTTCAAAAAAGTCAATGGTAAGAAGGTCAGGTATGCAGCTAAGTGCATCCATTGCTCTAAGCAATATTCTGCTCTCTCTAGTGGTGGCATTGGTCACCTCACCCGGCATAGGGATAAATGCCCCGGGAGGCGTGAAAAAAACGCATGTCTCAGTCTCAGATCTCTTTTTAATCCTGATGGTAGTATGCGTAATTGGGAGTACTGTCCTATGGTTGCACGTATTGAACTTGTTCGATTGCTTGCTAGGCTAGATGTTCCTATCAGTATGGGTGAAACTGATGCATTTGAAGAGTACATTAGAACTGATCATAATCCTAAATATGTTCCTGTCTCTAGGCAAACGACCACTAGAGACATGGTTAAATTTTTCACTGATCGCAAGGCTAAGCTTGTTGAGAATCTTAGTTCTTCTACT